CGCTCGGGGCAGGGTCCCCGGCGATGGCCACCAGGATCGACAAGGAGGCGTGCCGCGAGGCGTACAACCGGGTGCGCGACGACGGCTCTGCGGTCATCTGGTGAGGAGCCGACCCGCCGCCGCCCGCGCCTCGCCGGGGCCTGCCCGTCCCGCCCGGCGCTCACGTGTGTCTTTTCTTCTCTCAACCCCAAGGGTGACTTTCAGATACGACGGCGCCACCATCGTCCCCGGCGAGCAGGGCGCGGAGTACCAGCACTTCATCCAGCAGTGCACAGGTGGGGAGCTGCGCCACCTCGCGGGGCCGCGTCCGGGCCGGCGGCGGTGACCCTGCGCGCCAGGCGGGCCAGCGCCTTGCTCCCCGCGGTCACTGGCTTTCCAGGGTCCTGCCCGCCATCCTCTGGGATCGGTCTCTGAGCTAACATGAGCACGGCCCGGGGGGCTGCTTGCCAGAGAAAGAACCGCTCAGCCCCGCCCCGCTCTCTCTGGCAGTCATCGTCCTGGTTCTGATTCCCTACACAAAAGATTGCGTGCCGTCGGATTTCATTTCTGTGCAATTCCAGAGGAGGTAATGGGCCCCGCAGTGTGAGAAGTCAGAAGCGCTGACACCTTTGGGGATAGTCGCAGGCAGGACTGGGGTGCGAAGGCTGCTGGGAGTGTCCCAGGGTTTGACCTGGCCAGGGTCACACAGGTGCACCCCTAAGTCGGAGGTCGTCGGATCCTGTACTTAAGATAGTATGCACTGCATATCCCTTCCGTGTGTGACTGTGAAAAGCAAGACCATGTGGTAGCCCTGAGCCAGGAGCCCCTGGACTGGGCGGGGAGGGATTGGCCTGTGGGTAAGGGGACCGGAAGGAGCTGAGGAATGTGGCTTCCTTGCCCTGTGGTCTTCCGTAGAACACAAAGGCAGCCTAGCCTGGAGGTTAGGGCGTGGGCGCTGCACCCAGTGGTGTGGGTTTGAGTCTCCCAGTGGCCTCCTCTCACCTGTGTGGGTAGGAAAGTCACCAGGTCTCTGGGGGCCTCGGTTTCCTCATCTGTAACCTCATGGCGAGGTTGGGAGATTGAATCATTGTGCATAGTGCCTGTGCCAAGGACAGGCCCACTTGTGAAATAAAGTCCAGGATTTTGCCCGGGCACCCATCACTTCTTTCCTAACCGCTTTCTTAACCAAATTCGCTTCTGCATTTTGTTCAATTTGTAGGATATCTATTAAGGGTTTCCTACGTGCTGGGTTACACTAAGATTCGTGCACCAGTAGTGTGTGTGTGTTTGTAAATGTTCTAATTAAAATTTCCCCTGGAGAGTTGCCTCTAGATATTCATTCATCAGCTTTGGAAATAATTTGCTTAAAATGTTGGAAGCGCAAAGCACCAGGCAGCTCCCCCTTGGAGCGGTGCACGGGGTGGTGTGGAGAGTCAGGAGGGATTGGCGTTCGGCCTCCGGCCTGGCAGTGCAGAGGTCTGGTGCCCGTCTCCTCCACCTCTGCTGCGAGTGCTTTCGAAAGCGGCGGCTGCGGTGCACTCTGCTTTCGGGCTCCTGCGCAGCCCAGAGACTCAGCAATATTTTGCTGGCTAAGGCTGCTTGCTGCCCTCCTCCCGCTGCGCCCTTCGCCCCTCCCCCGGCAGGCGCCGTGCTCTGCCTCTGAGGCCATTGTTTGTCCCCCAGTGGGAGAAGGTGACCGAGGAAGAAGGAGCATCCTGCCTGCGGCCTCCAGCAGATGCTCCTGGCCTTTGTCGGTGGCCGGAGGGCACTTCCTTCCTGGGGCCCCTGGGGCTCTCAGCTCAGACCCCACACCCTCTGCAGGGACGGGGCAGGACTGGGGGACTGGGGACGGCTGGCCGAAGATGCTTCCCTGCTGCTTGTGGAGCCTGGTGACTGGGCCGTGGGACCCAACGCTCCGAGCTTCAGCTGGAGTCTGATTCCGCTCCCCCGCCATCTGGTGGGAAATGTGCCGCTGAGTTCTGGTTGCCGTCTGCTTTTGTTCCTCTAGGAAGAGCCTGTTCCTTGCCCTGCCGTGTCCCCATAACCCAGGGACCACAGGCTTGGCCCTGTGGCTGGGAACTTCTTCCAGCCCTCGCCCTCTCCCTGTCATTTCTACGGGGCAGGACTGGAATTGTTCCGCTTCTGCAGGTGTGGAAACTGAGGCCCAGAGAGGTTGAGTGGCTTCCTGTGGTCACACAGCTGGGAAGTGGCAGAGCCCATGCTTGAACCCAGGCAGCTGGCTTTGGGCCAACACAGAAGGAAGTGGTTTGGGCTCCCAGCGCCTGTGGGGTTATTTGCCGACTGTGAGTAACATGTTTGCTCTCTGGTGATGCAGGCAGGCTCTGAGGCACCACCACTGGCACCGGAACATCTCACCAGGTGTGCAGCCTCAAGCTGCCTGGACAGCACCTGGCCTCCTGCCAGAACTGGTTGGGGGGTCCTTGGGCTCCCGTGACCCCAGCTCTCAAGCCTTCCCTCTGAGGCCCCAGCTCACACTCTTCTGTCCCCTGAGGCTGCTGTCTCTCCCTTCCCCCAGTGGGGGTGGAGCCTAGGCCTTCAGGCTGAACCACATCCCTAGCACTTGCAGTTTTTTAAGTTTGGAGAGAGGGTCTTGCTAAGTTGCTAAGATTCGCAGGCTGGGCTCAGTCTTCCTGCCTCAGCCCCCCAGAGTGTTGGGCTCACAGGAGTGCGCCACCCTGCCCAGCGCCCCCTCACCCCCCACTGTCCTTCTCGTCCTCTCCTGTCCCTCCATCTGCCTCCCTTCTGTCCCCTCTGCCCCAGGCTGGCTTCTGCTGCTTCCTCCTGTTCCTGTCTGCACAGGCCTCTGCCTGCCCTGCTCTTCCCTGTGCCGGGCCCGCCCGGCTCCTTCCTTCCTTGCTGACCTCGAGACCATGGTCTTGTCCTTGACTGTGACTCGGTTCAGGGCACGTGGGCTACCGGGGCCCTTTGGAGTACAGTGGGAGGAGCCCTGTGCAGCCCTGAGCCCTGTGTGGCTGGAGAGGCCACTGTCCCCGAGCTTTTGCTCCTCTGTCCTGCAGGGCTCTCCTTCAACAGTGACTCAGATTGCCACCAACCACCGCAGCGTCAGGCCCTGGGCAGAGCGTTCTGGTGGAGAGGAAATGGTGGCTTCTTTGCCAGAGATTTCAGGGGTCCTGGCCAAGGTCATGTGCCAGCCCCTGGACTGTAGTGGCTGGGGCTGGGTCTCTTGCCAGCCCCAGAGCCGGGAGAAGTGAGCACTGCTTGGGGAAAGGGGCGGACCCGGTGACAAGCCTCACCCAGCCCTCCCTCTTCCTGCACCTCTTAACCCTGAGCTCCCTTGTCGTGTGTCCCCTCTGCTCCTCACTTCTGGGGGCCCCTCGGATCAGGTCTTGTGTGGCCAACTATGGGTTGCTGCTTCCCATCACACTAGCAGGGCTGTTGGGTCCTCCTCCCCCCCATACCTGCCCACTGGCTGCACACACACCATCCCAGGTGCCATCTGCATGGATTTCCTCTCCCCTACTGGAGCCTTCTTTCTGTCACCTGCCTGACCCTGGGGGTCAGGTTTGAGTCCCACGGCCTTGCTTGCTGTGTGACCTGGGTAGGTGCGTCCCTTTCTCTGCTGACAGCTGCCTCTGGAGGGGACTGGGAGGGCTGGTGGCCATCGTGTTCCTCATGTGTCATGGGCTGTGTGGTATCGGGCGGCCCTTACTACTTTACGTATTTTTTTATGTATAGAATAATATTATTGACAGAACTGATTTTGCCTTTGCTGCACACCTGCTTGGTCCCTGGTAATGGGTTCAGCCTGGGCAGTGTTGATGGGTGGGCAGAGCCTGGCAGTCAGGTGGCCTGAGGTCCCCACCCCTCCTTTCTGCTGCCATAGACTGCTTAGGACAATGAAGGAGGCAGGGCCTCAGATGCCTGTGGCTGTGACCCTTCTTTTGTCTGTGGAATGGAGCGCATTGATGCGGAGCCTGTGTCGGGAGGGAGGCGAGGAGAGGGTGCGCCGGGAGAGGAACTGGCTGGCCGCACCGTCCAGGGTTGCCCAGACAGAGCTGGGGAGCGGCAGAGGGTGAGGGGTGCTTTCCTGACGCTGCACGCATGACCACTGGTCAGCAGCAAAGGGCTCCTGATCACATGGGGTGATGGGCAGTGGCCCAGGCTGCCTGTGAAGTCGGGCTTTTTCTTTTTTGGTATCTGGAATCGAACTCAGGACCTTGTGCTTGCCAGACAGACACTTGTGCTGCTGAGCTGTCTCCCTGGCCAGAGTTTTGTTTTCTGTACCATACAAAAAACAAGGCACCCGTGCTTTGCAGGGTGCTCAGCAACCAGGACTGTACAGGAAGAAGAGGGTAAACCGGGTGAGGGCAGCGCCGTTCTACCTCTCAGCAACCTTATTCACTCGTTCCATGCTTTTGGCCTGTACTCTTCCATTAGTGCTTTTTCTGAGGGGGCAAATACTGGGGATTGAACTAGGCCCTTTGCACTGAGCTCCACCCCCAGACCCCTTTTATAATTTTTATTTTGAGACAGCATCTAAGTCACTGAGTAGCCCAGGCTGGGACAAACTTTCAATCCCCCTGCCTCAGCCTCCCAGAGTGCTGGGATTAGAGACATGCACCACTGTGTTGGTCTTTGAGCTTTCCTTTGTTGATTCTGTGGGGCTCTGTCCCAGATGCTGAGGATAAACAGAAGAGAGGAAGGCCCGGTCCTCACACAGCTGGTGCTCTGTTATTTCCACCCAGGGTGGACTCCACTTCCATTTTTATCTCCCATTTTTATCCATATTTGTGAAATACGTTTCTGTATATATTTTTTGAAAGGCAATCATCCTGGAGATGTTTTAGAGCCAGCTGCCCCTTCCCCTTGATGTTGTAACTCCCGAGGGCCCCTGCCCCCATGGCTGCACAATGTTAGGTTCTGTCAATGCAACATTGTTGTTTAACCCCACTCTGTGGATGGACTTCAGAGCTCTCTATTGCCAGCAGTTGTTTTCGTTTTTGGAATAGGGTCCTGCTCTGTAGTACAGGCTGGCCTTAAACTCACTATGTAGCCCAGGCTGACCTCAAACTTGCAGTAATCCTCCTGCCTCAGCCTCCCAGATGCTGGGGTTACAGGCGTGTGTCTGGCTGTAAGCAGTTTTATTTTGGAAAGAATCCAGGCACCTAGGGATGAATCCAGTTTTCTGGTGTAGGTTTTGGAGCAGGCTGGTGAAGAGCAGGGACAGGAGGCTGAATGTCCTGCCATGCTGTGCCTGCGACCGTGGACTGCTGGTCTCCCGGGCTCTCTGGTGCTGCCCCAAGGTGGGCAGAGT